GGTCTGGACTATTCTAAAGCGCGGAAAAGCTTCCTGTAACTCCGCCGCTCTTGCTCTTTTTGCTGTCAGTCTGTAAAACCAGTTTTTGTTGTTTAGTCAACACTGTTCAGTAGTGACTACTTTGTACACAGCCCTGTATTAAGCACCACAGAGTCAAAAAGTATAATAGCCAGGAGCTTTTAAGAGAATTATAGTCAGTGACTATTCCATGAAGGTGGGGTGTTTGAGTTTGATAAGTACACATTGGTGGCTAGAATTTGGCAGTTGGAAAGAAGATGCCATATGAGGGGGAAGAAAAAGCATAACACCGAGAGCATTGGGCGGGCCAGTGAGGAAGCTCGTCAGCACTGGAGCAGCTGGTCCATTCGGGGAATTTTGGGGGTGGGAGGGGGAATAATGTGCCAAGAAATGTTGGGAGCCAATTCTAGAGGAATGAAAGTGTTAAGAGCTTCCATAGAATTTAAATTCTGTTATAGACAGAGAAGCTATCAGAAGATTTTGAATGAGAGTGAAATACCCTCAGTTGGATGCTATGTTTTCCTCACCTAAAATCACCACATAAAAGCGAGTGGAGAGGTCTCTTTTGTCTACTGACTGGAGCTGAGTAGAATGGGGGAAAAGCTAACCCCGAGTGTCTGGGTGTAGGTCCCTTCTCACAGATTTCTCTTGTACCAGTTTATTTGGAAGCCTCCAGAAGTGGGACAAAAGAATCCTTAGAAATGCTTGCAGGAGCCATGAGAAGTCAGTATGATGAAGACAGTGGCTCTTCAAGTGGTTTTCCTTCTTCATTTCAGAGTTGCTGAGCTCAGCACTAATGCTTCTCCACAAGTGGGCTACAGAACCACATTTGAGGTTTGGTAGAAGTAAGATGAGGGAACTTGGTATATAAATAAATTAAGCCCAACCTGGCCTAACTAGGCCTACAAAGCAGTGGACCTAGAAATAATTACTTGGAGCCGCAAGGGTAATCCAGCATTTGTTTAGGTGTTAGAATGACTCATGCCTTCAGTCATTTGTTTACACCTATCCAGCTGGCTTACGTGCAGCCCCCAAGGTGTTTCATCTGGCCTGCATAGCTCACCCTTCCTTGCCTTTTTTCTGTCTCCCTCTCCTAACTGCTTCCCTCTTCCCTTTTCTTTTTCACCTACTTTTCTGCCCTTGTGTCCCCGAGTGCAGTCAGTTCTTCAGACCCCACAGAAGGAAGTCTCAGTTGGTGTAAGCAGGTTGGGTTGACAAGTTGTCTTGTTAGTGGCAAATAAGCTCTTCTGTTTCCCCAAGGCTGGGCTGACCCTGGAGACACGTTTGCAGATAGCACTAGATGTGGTGGAAGGAATCCGCTTCCTGCATAGCCAGGGACTTGTCCACCGTGATATCAAACTGAAAAATGTGCTGGTAAGTAAGAGCTGTTTCTCCAGTGAAACATGCTGCCTCTGGGCTAAGTGATCTTTCTGGGGTGCACTTAAATGTAAGTTTGGTCACAGGAAAAGACTGGAAGGAAAGCAGTAGAGTTAACAGCGGAATAGTTGGATAGTATCTTGGACTTAAAACTTAGGGAGGACTTGCACCATAGACCCAGTTCATACTGCTTAAGGTTTTTTCTCCCAACACTATTGAAAAAATTTAAATTTACAGAAAGTTAAAGGAGCGATACAATGAAAGCCCATACACCTTTCACTTAAGTTCATATTCGTTCGTTTTCCTAGTGTGGTCTGTCTGTCTCTCTCTCTCTGTCTCTGTCTCTCTCTCTTACACACACACACACACAAACACACTCTTTTTTACTGAACTATATGAAAGTAAATCACAGATAACATGTCATTCCTAGGTATAGGCATACCTCGTTTTATTGTGCTTTGCTTAATGCACTTCACAGATACTGTGTTTTTAACAAATTGAAGGCTTGTGGCAGCCCTGCTACAAGTGTACCAGAGCCTTTTTTCCAACAGCATTTGCTCACTTCATGTCTCTGTGTCACATTTTGGTAATTTTTGTTATTATATTTGTTATGGTGATCTTTGATTAGTGACCTTTGATGTTACTGTTGAAATCATCTTGGGGCACCACAAACCACTCCCGTATTAGATGGCAAATGTAATCGATAAATGTTGCATGTGTTCTGACTGCTCCACTGATTCCCAGAGACACAACAATGTTGAAATTGGGCCAGTTAATAACATCACAGTTGCCTCAAAGTGTTCAAGTGAAAGGAAAACTTGCCCGTCTCTCACTTTAAATCAAAAACTAGAAATGATGAAGCTCAGTGAGGAAGGCATGTCAAACGTCAAGATAGACTGAAAGCTGGGCCTCTTGCGCTGGTTAGCTAAGTTGTGAATGCAAAGGAAACGTTCTTGAAGGAAAGTAGAAGTGCTCCTCCAGTGAACACACGAATGATAAGAAAGCAAAACAGCCTTATTGCTGATGTGGAGGAAGTTTTAGTCGTCTGGATAGATCAAACCAGCCACAACATTCCCTTAAGCCAAAGCCTAATCCAGAGCAAGGCCCCAACTCCCTTCAGTTCTATGAAGGCTGAGAGAGGTGAGGAAGCTGCAGATGAAAAGTTTGAAGCTAGCAGAGGTTGGTTCTTGAGGTTTAAGGAAAGAAGCTGTCTTCATAACATAAAAGTGCAGGTGAAGCAGCAAGGGCTGATGTATAGAAGCTGCAGCAAGTTATCCAGAAGATCCTGCTAAGATAATTAATGAAGGTGGCTGCACTAGACAACAGATTTTCAAGGTAGATGAAACAGCCTTCTGTTGGAAGAGGAGTCTATCTGCGAGTTTCACAGCTAAAGAGGAGAAGTCAATGGCTGGCTCAAAGTTTCAAAGGACAGGCTGACTCTCTGGTTAGGGGCTAATGCAGCCGGTGACTTTAAGTTGAAGCCAGTGCTCATTTACCATTCTGAAAATCCTAGAGCCCTTAAGAATTATGCTAAATCTACTCTGCCTGTGCTCTATAAATGGAACAACAACGCCTGGATGACAGCACATCTGTTGACAACATGTTTACTGAATATTTTAAGCCCACTATTGAGGCCTACTGCTCAGAAAAAAAAAGATTCCTTTCAGAATATTATTGTTTAAAAAAAAAAAAAAAAAAGAATATTATTGTTTAATGACAATGTTCCTGGTTACCCAAGAGCTCTGATGAAGATGTACAGTGAGATTGATGTTGTTTCGTGCCTGCTAACAAAACATGCATCCTGTAGACCATGGAACAAGGAGTAATTTTGACTTTCAAGTTATGCTATTTAAGAAATACGTTTTGTAAGGCTGGAGCTGCCATAGATAGTGCTTCTCTGATAGATCTGGGCAAAGTAAGTTGAAAACCTGGAAAGGATTCACTGCTATAGATGCTATAAAGAACATTCGTGATTCATGGGAAGAGGCCAAAGCACCAACAGTAACAGGCCTTTGAAGAAGTTGACTCCTGCACTCATGGGCGTCTTAGAGGGGCTCGGAGTTTCAGTGGAGGAATTAGAAGCCTAAAGATGAGACAACTGCTACAATCTCATGATAAAACTTCAGTGAATGAGAAGCTGCTTCTTACAGATGAGCAAAGAAAGTGGATTGTTGAAATGACAACAAGGGATTTAGAATATGACGTAAACTTAGTTGTTAAAGCAGCTGCAGGGTTTGAGAGGACTGACTTCAACTTTGAAAACAAGTCCACTGCGGGTAAAATGCTGTCAAACAGCATCATATGCTTCAGAGAAGTTCTTAGTGAAGAGAAGAGTCAACCGATGTGGCAGATCTCATTGTTGTTTTAAGAAATTACTGCAGCCACCACCTTGATGGGTCAGCAGCTGTCAACATCGAGGCAAGACCCACCCACCACCAGCAAAAAGATTGCAATTCACTGAAGGCTCAGAGGATGGTTAGCATTTGTTGTTGTTCACATCCCTTTAATGAGATCATAGGCTCCTGTGTATGTCGCTGGAGGTGGAGCGAGCACAGCCCCTCAAACACAGCCCCTCTCCTCAGGACTCAGCCTTTTCAGGCAGATTCTGGGAGGGCAGGGAGAGGGGCNACACAATCCTGGGGTGAATGTGAATCCAGAGTCTATTTTTCTAAATAAACTGGAAAACCATGCCAAATTACTGTTTTTGCCAGCTTTGCCTCACCAAGAGGTCTTGGCTCAATTCAGGCATTAGGGCTGCCTGCTGTCCTTCAGAGAAGGTGGGAAAAGTGGCCATTACCTGTCTCCTCCAAGTCCAGTCAGGTCAAGTGTAATGAAGTGAGTTGAGCACTAGTCCACCCAAGTCCACAAGCAGCTGGTTCACATCTCTTTAATGAGATCAAAGGCTCCTGTGTATGTCATTGGGGGTAGAGCTAGCACAGTCCCCCAAACATGGCCCTTCTCCTCAGGACTCCAGCCCTTTCAGGCAGATTCTAGTAGGAGCGCAAGGAGAGGCCGAAGAGAACTCAAGGAATTGGGACCAGGGCTGTTTCTAGTGGGCAAGTAACCCACCCATCCTCCCCAAACTGCTTATGGGATGTCCCCTTCACTGCAGACACTTGGAGTATGGGATCTAGGCGCAGTGTACAAAGGGAGCTGTCCCCCAGATCTGGCTGGGTGGCGCTAGCCCTAGCCTCCTGCACAGGCTCACGCTCGCTGGCGTCAGGACAAGGGCGAGCTCCGTACCCAAGTCGCCAGCCAGGTGGGATAGCGGCAGGGCAGGCAGGCAGGGCTCACCCCTGCCCCAGGCTCACTCTCCTGAGGAGGGGGGCACTCTGGTGGGAGGAAACACTGTCCACATTTGCCCCTTTGCAGTGGGCAGGGCAGCTAGAGGCGGAGGAGCAGCAGGTCCATCCCCTGGAAGCAGTCCAGGGGCAGCCTGGGATGGCAGAGTGAGGAGGGGGTGGTGAGCCCGGGCGGTGAACCACAGCCGCATGGGCTGGGGCTTGAAGGCGCCGAGGGGGCCAAGGTCAAGCAGTGAACCAGTAGGCACCGGGCCAGGCCCTTGGCATTCCCCGGGCTGGGCCAGCAAGTGGATCTCACGCTGCCGTTGCTATTGCTGCTGTTGCTGCAGCTGGAGTTCAGCCCGTCGGTGGCGGAGGCGTGCCAGTAGCTAAGAGGATGACAGTCCAGAGCCGCCAGAGCTCGTAGAAGTAGGTGCAGCACCCAGTCTCCCCACAGCAGCGACGACTCGCAGAGGCAGGGCTGGCTGTTCACGCCTGGGCAAAGCTCTCGAAGCTGCCACTGCGACCCCTGAAGGGCCCCTCAGGCCTCCTCGCTGCCGTTCCCACTGCTGGCCGAGCCGGGCCTACTGCCCCCGAAGACTACAGTCCCCTCTGCCACCAGCCGCCCTGCCACTGCCACCTCCGCCGCCACGGCCATGGCCCCCGCCGGCCCGTCTGCTCTGCTGCCACCGTCACTCCCGGCTGGAGCTCCTGTCCCTATGGTCAGCAGTTTTTAGAAATAAAGTACTTTTTAATTAATGTAAGTACCTTGTTTTTTTAACAATACAATACTATTGCACATTTAATGGACTACAGTAGAGTATAAAAATAGTGTGCACTGGGAAACCAAAAACTTGATGTGACTCGCTTCACTGCAGCATTGTTGGCTTCACAGAAGTGCCCTGGAACCGTACCCACAATATCGGAGGTGTGCCTGCACTTCAGCTCGTGTCTCCTGAAAAAGGGACATCTTCTCTGTAATTAAACACTATCGCACCCAAGAAATTTGACATTGACACAATACAATTAGTTAATGTACTGTCTGTGTTGACATTTTCCAGATGTCCCAAGTATAGCCAATTGTCCCAAATGCGACCTATTTGTTTGATCCAAGATCTAATCCAAGGGTCATACGGTGCATCTCGTCATGTTTCTTTAGCCTCCTTTAATCTAGAGCAGTTCTTCCGCCGTTTAGCTTTTGCACCATTGATATTTTCAAGGATTCCTGGTCTTGTTATTGCTTAGGGTTTGGTCAGAAATACTAGATGAGGACTGAGATGGGTAAATGCACCTTAAAAGGTGATGAACTCACCAGGCCTGTTATCTAAATTACAAAGAATCTTTTGATGTACTCCTCTTGAAAGTGTATTAGATTATTATTGAGTTGTCTCTGGCATCACTTTGGGGGAAAGGAAAGATCTTCCTAAATTATAGGCTGAAACCTAAGAGGCTTATCAATTACCAAATGAGACAGAGATTTATTCTCTTGGACCTTTAGGAAAGGAGACTACAGGGAATTCCAGAAACTCCCTTTAGCTGACCAGAGGACCTCGACGTTCTTACTTAGCAGCTTTCTGCTGGCGCCTGGCAGCCAGAGGAGACTAATCAGGAACTGAAATGCTTTTCCCAGTGTTCTTCACTTATTCATTCTTCCAAGATTTGTTAAGCTGCTGATAGTGCTAGGCACTGTGCTAAGTGCTGGGAATCCAAAGATGAAAAAGGCAGTCCCTGCCATCAGGCTGCTTACAGTCTGGGAAGAAGACACTCATGGGAATGAGTCTGGAGATGGAGGCTGGAGGCAGGATTGATTAAGTACTGCTGTGAGGTGGACACCTGCTTGTGATCTTGGGGATGCAGCCGAGCTAAGAGCTGTATGCGGGATCAGACACAGGGTGACTCCTACCCTGCTTTGTTGGCAGCTGGACAAGCAGAACCGAGCCAAGATCACTGACTTAGGATTCTGCAAGCCAGAGGCCATGATGTCAGGCAGCATTGTGGGGACGCCAATCCATATGGCCCCTGAGCTTTTCACAGGTAAGCTGGAGGGCAGGGAGTAGGTTTGGGCGGGGCTCCGTCCTTGTAACCCTGAGTAGTGTCCACAAGTAGTACTGGCAGATCCAGCACAGACAAGGGAGAAAAGAGAACAGGAAAAAATAAGACAAGTAGGGGAAAAGTAAAGAGGTAAAGAGGTCGAAATAAAAGTGCAAATAGGAGTCACTGGCTGTTCTTTTGAATGTCTCTCTGGGCCATAATTGCCATAATCGACCAATTATTCAATCATAAAGAATTTATTGGATAACTCCTATACTATATTAGGAGCTGTCTCCTATCATTAAAGAACTTATAGATGACAGAGATATATTAATAGAGGTAAAATAATTACGAGGGCAGTATAAGACGACATGACAAAGTGCTAAGTTAAATGCAATATGATGTAATGGTGTTCAGAGAAGGGATAAGTGAAGGTTGAAATGTTTGATGGTTTTGTGGTAAAGGTAATATTTCAGGTAGAACTTAAGTCAGATTTAGAAAAATTGGTAGGTGGGAAGGGAATTTATATTTATTAAGTATATTCTTTGAGTTAGGCAGCGTATGTTTTTTATATATTTTATTCCATTTAATTCTCACTAGAATTCTGCGGTGATATTGATGCATTTTTATGTCCTGTCCATATTATGGATAAAGTTAAGTCAAGGCCAAGTTGCTGAAGAAATCCACCCTAGAACGCTGAGCTAGAAGTCATGGAGCTAGGAGTGGAATCTAGGTCTTTCCGTCTCTAGTCTAACCATGTGTCATGAAAGAGAGAAAATTCTGGAGGTAGAGGAATGGGAAATACCAGGAAAATTGCAGAATAGAAATAAGCCTGACAGGAAAGAAATCCATTTGGAGAATGTTAGCAAACCAGGTTGCAGGTAAAGTGCAGCGAGCTTGCCAGTCACCCAGAGGAGTGGAGGCTTGCTGTTGGAGCAGGGTGCCGCTGCGCTGAGCAGGGAAGGGACCACAGGTGTTTGTGGGGGACCCGCTTACAGCAGCAGGTGGGGGAGCTTGAGTGGCGAGAACCAAGGCAGGGGAATGGTGGCTGTCTTCATGATTAGGTTGGTGGTAGTGTTAAAACAAGCAAACAAAAAACAGTGACAGATTTGAGGTCATTCAGAGGAAGAGTGGGCACGGTGGTTCTCTAAGTTGATGTGAGTGAGGAACGGGAAAGAATACTAAACAGTGACCCCAAGGTTTTGAGCCTGAGTGGAGGAGGAGGGGTCGTAGGCCTGTTGGGAAGGTGGAAAGGTAATCCCAGGCTCCTCATTAGTACTGGTAAGAGTTAAATTTGCAATATATCCGAATTTCTCTCAGCAGCCTCATGCGCGAGTCCTCCCCAACCCTTCGCTGAGTGGTCTGCATAAGAATTAGGAGTTAGCTGGAGAGCTGTAGTCCTGCCCACATCGGAATGAAGACACTGTCATTTTTCTTTCTCTAGATTTACTTTTTAAAATTAAGTTTCTGTTCTCCCTGCTTTTTTTTTTTTTTTTTTTTTTGGCTACTTCATATTTAAACTTCTTTGATTTTTTTTCTACTGCAGTCCATTCTGTTGCTGTCAGAATAATCTTTCTAAAATACTTGCTTCATGTCACCTACTGCTCTAAAACGTAAATGACTTCTGCTGCCCTCTGAATCCTGACTCTTCTGTCTGACTTTAAAAATCTTTATGCTCTGGTTCCAGCTTGCCCACCCCCCTGTATTTCCCAACTTTATTTCCCTAATACGACCTTTCAGGATTAATCTTTTTTTAATCCCATTAAAATAACAGGCCTGTTTTCCTTCTCCTTTGTCAAATTTATTCTTGAGTCTCTTAATATCTAGCTTTGGCCTTCACTGCCATAGTTCTTTCTATTATAAAGCGGTCATTATGAGTATGTCCTGCCTAACAGAGTTGTTATGAGAGATAATGGACAATAACAGTTTTAGAAAAGAATTTGTAAAGACCTCTGCAGTTGCAAGTTAGTGGTGATGCTGTTGATTTCTCACCCTGGCTCCCTGCTTGCCACCCCTTCTTGCCGTAGGGAAGTATGATAATTCCGTGGACGTCTACGCTTTTGGCATTCTTTTCTGGTATATCTGCTCAGGCTCTGTCAAGCTCCCTGAGGCATTTGAGAGGTGTGCCAGCAAAGACCATCTCTGGAACAATGTGCGGAGAGGTAAGAGCCCCAAGCCCTACTTTGTCCAAACTCCCCTGTGAAGAGCAGACTGAGGCCCGGCACTGCAGCAGGGGCTCCCATCGACCTTTGATTCCAGGCCTTTGATTCCGGGCAGCATTGTACTGAACTGTCTCCAAAAGGCTTTTTTCTTTAAAATTTCCAGTTCTTCAACGTGCTGTGCCAGTGTGCTCCAGTTTATCATCTGTTACTATTAGGTTCTAAACTAGATGTTTGCAGTTAAGCCAAAGCTTACTGCATTCTGTAACTTCCTGAGCGCCAGCTGGGTGATCAGCCTGAGAGCTGAGCAGGCCTGTCGGTTGTATTGGTCACCCTCTCACTAACTCTGGTCTTATTTCCATGCTCCTTTCTCCAGGGGCCCGCCCAGAACGCCTTCCTGTGTTTGATGAGGAGTGCTGGCAGCTGATGGAAGCCTGCTGGGATGGCGACCCCTCTCAGAGACCCCTCTTGGGCATTGTGCAGCCCATGCTCCAGGGCATCATGGACCGGCTATGCAAGTCCAATTCTGAGCAGCCAAACAGAGGTCTAGATGACTCTACTTGAAAGCAAAGACCTTTCTCTTTCACACTCTTTTTTTCCTTCCCCTCACCTTTTGGCCATGGGGAGAATTTGACAGCTGTTCATTAAGAGTGTCCCAGGGGAATCGATGCTTGCTGGGCAGCTTGGGACCTCCGCAGGCAGAGAGGACTCCTGGATAGTGCAGTCCGATGGCTGAGCATATCCTGCAGTTCACTGATGCCCCAAGCTGTTTCTTTAGCAAAAGATTGTCTAGGACATGGGTAAAAAGCTGAAGAAGGCAATGTCCCAGCCTCAGAACTGAAAAGGAGGTAAATGTTACCATTGTCTCTTCACTGTATGTTTCTAAGGCGAGTGGGACACTGCATTGGCAATAGAATTAAAAACTGTAATTTTCGTAGTTTTGGCTTCACCTAGGGATAGTTTGGCTCTATCCAGTTTTCAGGACCCTTAGAAAATTTAAGCCTAGTTCTGGAATTGTGAAAACATAGGAGCAAAAATATAACTTGTGAATGGCTGTTCCTGTTACCTGCACCCAGAGATCTCAGGCTGCATCAGCTAGAGGCCCCAGAGATGAAGCTAGAAACAAAGCTATCTGTTCCTTCCAGTACCGGTGTGTTTACATTTATAGGACCACATAGCCCTGACTTCTGGGAGAGGGTTTCACAGTACATCACCAAGGAGCCCCAAAAAAGAAAAAAGTGTGTGTGTGTGTGCTCGCGCATGCGTGGGTATAAGCTATGGGATTTTGAGTTACTGCTACTCCTAGAACAGAATCTCTTCTACCCTTGGGTCTTCATTTTGTTTCTCTCTTTAGTCTCAAGATGGGGAAGCTCTAGTTAACATGGTACTTAGGGGTGAGTGTCTGAGTAAAACTGACCCAGTGTGAAGTATTTGGTGAGACCGAGAAAGTGGACAGTGATCTGGAGGCCGTGGGTCTCCATACAAACCCACTAGAAGGATGCCAGCTTGTTTTTTAAAACTTAAAAAAATCAGAAACTCTTTTTGTGTGTGTTTGAATCTAACACTCTGATGTTTTTAAACTTGATCAGCGAGCTTTTTAACCTAGGTTTCTTCTGTAACTTGTCCCTTCTTTTTTCCTTATTTTTAACGTAATGTCAGAAGAAAAGAGTCAGATGAAAGAGAACACTTTTTGGAGCTCTGCGTGTGCCCCTCACCCCTGTGTGTTCGTGTCTGCGAAGGGCCCCCCCCTTGCGTTCGGAAGGTGGGGTGGTGGTCTTTGGGAGAATTTGTCATGAAGTGTACATAAAAAGAGAAATTCTTATGCCAGTCAAAGGAAGGGGAACACTTTAAACACCGGTGCATCTCAGATCTTGATTCAATCCTCCCTTAACCAAATGGTCCATTAGGTTTAGAGAAATAATGTAGATGAAGGAATGGACAGTGGAGGTGAGTAACCTCCTCCGTCTGCCGAAGCCCCAGCACTGTGGTCTGTCCCCTCGGCCTAGCCCCAAACCGCGTGAAACAGGCCCCTGCGTAGGTGTGTAAGGTAATGGGCAGATTTGCTGCTGGAATTTTCTAGGGTGGTTTGCTACAGAATGACCATCTCTTAAACATTAACAGGGTATAAATGGAGTCTACAAAAATTTTTTTGTATAACTTTTGAAGTTCAGTTTTTAGCCCTGGCTCTCCTGGGCTCTAATTATGATACATGTGAGCATAGTAGCCCCCTGAGCACTCGTAGCCCTTCAGAAACCCATCTAGTGCTAGAAACTTTGTTACTTGCAAATGACAAGTTGACTGACCCAGTGGTTTTGGGTTCTGTAGGCCCTGTTTTGGTGGAATGTTCAGTGTATCTGTTAGAATTGTTAATGCTCATTTAGCTGTACTGTAAGTCTCTCTATTTTTGTCAGCATTAGCTCGTAGCCCTTCTGAGGACTTGATGGGCCTTCCCGGAAGCCATGTTTCAAGTTTAAAAAGTAGAGGCGGGTAGTCTCTACTAGACGGAAAATCAGTGTAAGTCTTATTCTGTATGAAATTTCAAGAAAGCTTTTATATAGTTCTCTTTTCCAGGAATTTCAAGAAAGCTTTTATAGAGTTCCTCTTTTCAGTCTTTTAAACTCTGACTATAATTAGGAGTCTGTGCTCCCGATGTGGAGACCACATTCCTAACATTCTTAGCAAGTCTTAGTTCATACCCCCATTCACACATGGAGGGTAGGTTTTTCTCCACCCAGGGTCCCTTTTCAGTTTCTCCCCGTGGCTTGGTCTGCTCTCAGACATCAGTTTTCTAGCAGATTGCCCACATTTTTTTGCCTGAGCGGGGAGGGAGGGGCTAATGGATGAGTAGTTAGTTGTGTTACAGTTCATTAAATTAAAAAAATTTATTCTGAGAAAAGGTGCAGACTATTCCTGAAAGTCTCCAGGCCAGCCGAAGTCCACATGTTGACATTTGGAGGTGGTACTGAAACACTCAGCGGGCTGAGTGCAGGAATACATATGTATCACACGTGTGTACTTTGCTTTTGTCCTACAACATTGTCAGCAAATTTTAGATTCTTTGTTCCTTGGCACCCATTATTATTAAAGTGATGGAACGCCGTGAAATGTACTGTATTACTTGGGAAGATACTAGGTATTAAAGAAGTTTGGTGGCACTTTGGCTCTTAAGGGCTCAGCAAGACCAAAGTCTGAAGATTTTACCTCCCAGCTTTGGCTGTCTGTGCTCCCAAGTGGTGAGGCGACTGTGGCTGGTGGAGGAAGAAGGATGGGGTGAGAGAACTGCCCTGTGTTCTGTCCTTCCAGCCAGTTTCATTCGGGCTGTTTACCCCAGCCCGAAAGTGATCGCCTGGCCGTTGTTAATGCACTTGAAGTCTGATCGCTTATGTTGCTTCAGAAGTGAGTGGGGGACCTTCCTGCAGAGCAGTCGGAAGGAGTGGAGTCTGGAGTCGGGAGTGGCTGGCCCTGGGCCTAGGGAGCCAGCAGCAAGGTCAGTCACGGGCGGAGGTTTCCGCAGGCGTGCCCTAGTTCCCTTGATCCTCTGCAGAGAGTGGCTCGTTGATGACAAATCTTTCACATCTCTGGAAAGGACTGAGCTGGTTCTTCCCAGACCAAAGAGGGTCACTTGTGACTGCATCAATTTCAGGGGGACAGTGTGTAGGCAGCAGCTTCTCCTAATTTTTAACACTAAAAATCAAGGAAACAGTGAAGGAAAGGATGCATTACTACCACGGATAGAAATAGGGGAATGGTGGGACTCTCAACTAGTGCCTGCCAGCTCTCCCATGCATTTTTTTGCATCTTGAGCTGCCAAAGGTGTTGGAAACGTTTTTTTGTTGCCGGAGAAGTGGTTGGGGCTGCAACATGATAACCGCACTGAGTGACACTTTATTTTTTGGTTTTTATTCAGCCCTGACAAGCGAAGGGGGATTGGTGGTTACAGTAGCACTAGGGGGAATAGAGACTCCCGCTGCCTTGCTTTGGCAAGAAGGCATGCTTGCTGTTCTCTCTGGCTAAGGGAACCTGCGGACTCCACCGTGCACCAGAGTGAGCTAAACGCCCTCCAAGAGTCCATTGCCAAGAGGGGAGTTTCTTTGAAATGTCAGAGCTTGATTTTGGGATTTGCTGGATCAAATAACCCACTTTCTCTTTAAAAGAAAAAAAAAAAGAGAGTTTATTCTTCTAAATATGGAGGTGGGGTGGGGTGGTTAGGGCTAGTGTGGACCTTAATAGGTAAGGAGGGAGTAATCTTCAGAAACTTATATTGCAAACTCCCTTGGGGGTTTCAAGTAGCACTACTGTTCTTACAAGGGTTTTCTTTTTAACTGCATCTGTTTTGTTAACATCCAGTCCAGTTGAGATGATCGCAGGGACCATGTGAACCTGGCACTGGGTAGGCCTTCTTCCCCAGAGGGTTGAAAAGAAAAGTGGTCTGGACAGCTTGTTGTCTTTCATCTTTATGTAATATTTTTGTTTGTTTTAAAGCACTAATGTTTATTACAGTGTTAAATAAAAATGTAACATACTAAGTGTGTAGAATAAAAGTGCAATAACAAGAGAAATTACTTGGCAAAAACTTCAGTCCTTACACGCTCTCCTTTCTTGTGCTACCTGTCTCTTTCCACATTGTTACATTTCCATGTTGTTATAGCGGGACCCTGTTAATTGTGTGTATTTTTAAGAGACGCAATTAAGGGATGAGTCTTCACTTTGTGTAATTTTAAAGGGTTGGGTTTGGTTTTATAGAGTATTCTGTATACTTGTTTGGATGCACAAATACCAGAAGTGCTGTATAATAAAGATCACATTAACGTTTTAGGTTTGTGTGTGCTTGGCTTTTGTTTCCCCTGTGTTAACAGGACACTCCCTGTTGTATTCCATTTCCACTGGGACCTCTGCAGTCAGAGGCCTTTCGGTTTGCCTTAGAGACTGAGGGAACATGCTACTCCCCCATAGGTCACTCTTGATTTCCAGGTACTTGACATTATCACTACCAGAAAGTGGGGCAAGGGAACGGAAGGTGGGACAGCGGAGAAGAGGAGGCAAGGCACGGTGATAGCAATTTCTTTTTCAGAGCCTCTCTGGGGTTCACACGCGTTTCTCCAGCTTCTTTTCAGCATGAACTTGAAGCATTCTGAGCTCACACACAAGCCTAGCTATTCTTTAGTATACTGTGAGAGAATCTGGGGATGGAATCTATATACCAGACTATCTGCATTTGGAATATCTGAGTTTTCTATGTAGGCTCACACCACCTTCAGATTTGCTTGCTAGGCAGTGCTCGACAGGCACGTCGTAGGCCGCTACCAACAGTGGCACTATCTGTAGTCACCAGGGGATGTCAGCAGGCAGCAGGCCACCTTTTCCTGCAGGGTGTGCTTGTTTTGGGTTACTATTTCACGCTTACACGTCTGCATCGTTTTTTGCTATAACTGCTTGTAATTTGACTGCAATACCAGTTTGGCCAGGAGATGGCAGCACACCTTAAACAGTTGATGTGTTTTTTATTAAGTCTTAAAGGAAAAGCTAAAGTTGAATCTCTGGCTCTCTGCTTATCCCTACACAAAAGTCACTTAATGCAGATGAGCCTCTTATAACTGTGAAACTCTCCACTAATCCCAGCCGCCCTTCACAGCCAAATATATCCCATCTTCCATGCATATACCCTATATTCTAGTATGAAGTTCAGTATGAGTTCTCTTACCTTCCTCTCTAACCATCACTTTGGAGAAAACTGCTTGTGGTATACACATTTTTAGATTGGGTAAGCTTTTCCAAGAACACATCCCTCAGCAGGCTTGTCCATTGAGTAGGGCAACTGGGGTGTCCCTTCTGGTCCTTGATTGGGTGGGGTTCAGAGGGGGAGAGGCCACTAAGTTTCTGAACATTGTTCATTTAATTTAGAAATTTCCACCTTTAGTAGGATCCCAAGGTGTCCACAAAGTGCAGTTATCATGGGTGGCCACTGAACTGGTTGAGGTCTCTGAGGGCCCACCTAGGGATGGTTCCTTAGTATATTCTAAAGGTGGCATTTCAAATCAGTGGAAAAATTGACAATTTTATAAAACTAGCTACTCACCTGAGAAAAAAATAGACTCAAATCATGCGAAAAAAAAAAAGTATACTAAAGATCTAAATATTAAAAAGAACTAGAAAGGAACTAGATAACGGCACACACATTGAGTCTTTATTATATACTAGGCGCTATTCTAAATGCTTTACATGTATTAACTCGCTTAACCTTCACCAGAACCCCATTTTACTGATGAGACAATTAAGTACCAGGGTCATGCAACTGATAAATGCCAGAGCTGGGATTTGAACCTAAGAAGTCCAGCTCTAGAACCTCTCATACTATGCAATGCTGCCTTCGGGAAAAAATGTAAGTATGTTCATTATTGTTTGGAGGATGGGAGAACTTTTTTGAGTGTGATCAGGAACCCAGAAGCCATAAAGAAAAATGATAGAAATTATAAAGAACATACATACATCCAAAGATACCAAAAGAAAAATTAATTTGGAGAGAATAATTATATAACTGATAAAAGATTCATATTCCTAATATATGAAGAAACCAATAAAAAAATTTAAAAACAAATTGCTAATACGTATTTGAGAAAGATATTTATCCTCACTAATAGGGGAAATGCATATGAAAACCAAATATATTTTTCCATCTATCAAATTCCTGAAAACACTAAAAACCTATTTATAAGTGTGGGTGATGAGCACTATTTCCCTATGTTTTTGGGAAGTGGATATAGCCACAAAAAGGCAATTTGGCAGTGCCTAATGAAAACATTTTAAATGTAATAATGAAAGCAGCTAATTAAATTATTTGTAAAGTTATTTTTAATTGAGTTTATTGGTATAACATTGGTTAATAAAATTATATAGGTTTCAGGTGTACCAACTCTATAATACATTATCTGTATATTGTATGTTCACCACCCCAAGTCAAGTCTCCTTTCGTCACCATTTATGCTCCCTTTACCCTTTCCTACCTCCCCCACCCCCTTGCATCATTATTTAGAATACTAAAAAGTTGGAGGCAATGTTAATGTCTGACAAGGGAAGATTAAATTATGAGGCTCATACCGTGGAAACTATGTAGCTATTAAAAGGAATGACATCACTATATGGACAAGGAAAGATGTTTACACTATATCATCGGGTTAAAAATAATTTATATAAGTATATTTGTTATGACCCCCCTTATTTGGTAAAAATCCCTTCCATCCCCCATAACCCCATATTATCTAGAGACCTAGTCCACTTTGCTATATACATGCATAGAAAAAAGTTTGTAAGAATATATATCAAACTGGTAACAGTGGTATTCCTAGGGAGAGAACTTTCAACTTCTAGTGTATTGAACTTGTTACTGTTCATCTGCTATGAACATCATTTTTCTCATATTTTAAGAAAATTAATGAAATGGCTAATTTAGGAGAAAGGAAGTATGTTTTGGGAAGGTATTAGGGGCCCACAAAATCAATAGAACCTGGAAGGTCAGGCTCATAGAATTGGTGGGTAGGAACCAGGGTAGACTTGCAGGCTACTGCAAAGGCCTCACTATGGCTGTGAGGAAGCATCGTCACTCGTTAAGTCAGCAGCCAGGGAGAATTTTGTCAACTGGCCCAGCATAGGTCCCAGGCCCATCTAGCAGTGTTGGTTCAGAATTGGAAGGCTCTATCCAACTCCAGATTCTATGGTGAAAGGTAGATTTTCCTGCTCACTAAAACTATATTCAATGGAGGAGATGTATTTCCTAAAAGGTAATCAAAGAGCTGTTAGAAAAGGGACCTAGATTCAGGACAGGCCCGAGGTGACAGACGTCCACTATAACCCACTGCTTGGGCTGCTTGTTAGCACATCCACCCCTCCGGCTCTACTGGAGGCAAGGTCTGTTCCTTTCTCTTCTCTTTCGGGTATTTCCATTACCTGTGTGTTACATCTTTTGTAGATGTCCCAGAGTTCTTAGATATTCTGTCCTGGTTTTTTTTTTTTTCAGTCTCTTTTCTCTTTGCTTTTCAGTTTTGGATGTTTCTATTGACATATCCTCAAGATCAGAGATTCTTTTCTCAGTTGGGACCAGTCTACTAATAAGCCCATCACAGGCATTCTTTATTTGTTACAGTATTTTTTATCTCTAGCATTTTTTTCTGTCTTAGAATTTCCATTTCTTGACTTGCATTGCCCATCTGTTCTTGCATGCTGTCAACTTTATCCATTAGAGCTTTTTAGTATATTAATTATAGTTATTTCAAATTCCATGTCTGATTATTCCAATATCCCTGCCATATCTGAATCTGGTTCTGATGGTTTCTCTGTCTCTTCAAACTGCATTTTTTTGCCTTTTAGTATGTTTTGTCATTTGTTTTTGATAATTGGACATGTTTTACTGGATAAAAGGAACTGCAGTAAATAGGCCTTAGTAATCTGGTGGTAAGGTGTCAGGAGAAGAGAAGACTTCTATAGTCCTGAGGTTAGAGCCCAGTCTTTTAGTGAGCCTCTGCCCTGGACTGTGAGCTTCACAAGTGCTTTCCATTCCTTCCCTCTCTCTTCCCCTCCCCCCT